GATTACCTTTGTCCTTTAGTGACACATTTGTGGAAACACATAATTAGATCAGAGCCCCAACAGATATTCGGCCCTACTTCAATAAATGTTCGTACAGGTAGGGGTCAATAGGAAGGTTTATGAAGGCTCTGAACTTCCCTCCAGTCATCAGGCATATATTCTGTTAGTCTATAATTTTTCACGAACATGAGATAGAAAAGTAATGTGTCTCGAACGGTCCCGCATCTGATGTAGAGCCTCACGGAGGGCTATGTATAGAAGGCTATTTATTTTGGGGTTAAAACAGATTTGCTTAATTGCGATTAAATTCACGGCTCATGGCGTGGTGTTGTAGCTCAAGTAGTAGAGCGTTGGCTGTGGAAAGGCCTTCTCTGCTATGCAGGTTCGACTCCCGCCGACGCCGCGAGTTTTTTTTTCACGACTAAAAGAAGGCTATTTGTTTAATTAGTTCTGCGCCGGATTCTGTCTAGCGGTGGAGGAAACTTAAGGACAAAAATTACGTCCTTATCTAAGTGATCATCTCAGAGTACTTCCGCGATCGTTTACCTAGCGGAAACCTCACTAAGGTCAGCACCTTTGTTTTCATTAAGTAGCTGCTTGTTGCTTTGCCGCTAGTCAATAATAATGTCTCAACTGGCGTACGACGTTAAAAGGTAAGTTAAATGCTCCAATGCGTCTAATCTTCTTTATTAGAAGCCATGCTGAAGGTGTACCTTGACTGCCATCGTCCTTCTGCTTAGGTACAATCCAAAGTTACTGCTTTAGTGAAGAAACTATTAAATAGCTACTTAGTCCCCAATCGAAATCGCTACCCTAACCCTCAAACAGAAACATGAAAAAAAAATTAAAAGGAATGCGTTGGATGAGTAGGAAGAACCGGCTGCCTTCATCTTAAGTCCCCTTCCAGAGGTAGGAAACGAACAGGACGTTACCGCCACTTTAACTCCAGTCCGGTTAGTTATTCTAATTTTTTTATTAGGAGCTTTGGCAGGTTTGCTTAATTCGAGTTGACCCAATTTTGAAAAAAATCGAGGCATTCGGCGGGATTTGAACCCGCATAGTAGAGAAGGCCTTTACCGGAAGCCAA